GACAAGTAATAGAACCAGGATTCGGCAATAAAAAACAGCCTGGGAGACTTCCAGAAAAAATATGTTTGTGAACCAAGGTCTTTCCCAGTTCACACAGAGATGCACAAGACAAGTCTTCCCAAGAATTCAGACTCCCAATTTTATCATTTAGCATAGCAAATCACACTCCAGCATTTATTTTTGCAACACTCACGTCTGGGAAAAGTTGTTTTTCCTCAAAGAAGATTTAATCCTTGAGAGAATTGCGTGGCCGGATGTACAACTTTTTGAACAACATCGCAAACAAAGTAGCTATTCAATATGATGGGCTTATTTTATTCATTTGAAATATTTTTGGGGGTTTGAAACTATTTATCCATCAGTTTATAGAAAAATTAATTTCTTTAATTTAGATAGTCCATGAATAAAGGCTATAATACGGGGAAGGAAACATGGTCAAAGTATTTTTTTTGAAGAAGAAGAAGAAAACGTCATGGCCGACGTAACTTTCATTTGAATTAATTTTTTATGTAAATTTTTTAGATTAATTGGATGTGTGTTCACTTGAAATGAACAGGATAAATTTACGCATTGAAATTCGAATGAGCCTTAAAGCTTGGGACAATTTTGTGTTAAATATCGATATTGGTAGATTTACCAATTTAAAAATGCTCGCAGTTTCAGGGATTTACTGGTACGTGTGCATTTCCAGTTTAATATTCTTGCTTTAGTTTCTAATCAAACGGAACAGAAAGCATACAATATCTAGGTTAAGGCTTATTTCTCCTTTTTTGGCTTTTTCAAGAAAATGGATCGAAAAAATAAATAAAAATCGCGGAAACGCAACGGGAACCTGGCTATTGATGCTTTAAATGGAAAACTTCGCGTTTCTTTCGGCAGTTTTGCCTGAATTTGTCCTATTTCCAGCTCACCATTCCTGTCATGAATGGGTCGTGAAAACCGTGGTAATTGCCTTATGTTAATGCCGCTCGAGTTTTACCATACAGTATTGTCGATTATTTTCAATGAACTATTTTTCAATACGGTATCTTGAAAGCGGATAATTTAGATCATATGTCGGGTGTTTTTCTTTTTTTTAATCGTGAAACTGGAGTCGAACCGAATGGTTTTCGATGAGTCGATGCATGAAAAACGGGACGGCCGTAAATCCTGTCAGAGCATGACGTGATAATTTAGATAACGTCATTGTCGTCGTCAATAGTATGATCAAGTTGATGCTTATTATTATTCCTTCATCGTAAACCACATTAAATTCAAAACAGGTAATCTCTCGGCCACATCGGACCCCGGCCTAGATTTTGAATTATTTGAGGGCAAGAAGTACGAAAGCGAATATAAGAGACCGGAAGAAGAAACAAAAAACTAGTTTTCCTCGTGAGAAATCCGCCTCTTCACGTTTCCCAGCTGACGCGCGGAAGATAGAAAGTATCACATAGTTTCCGATGAATTCTGATCATTGCTGGCTGCAAATTGCATATTTATGTATTTCTTCTTTTCTCAGCCTGGGTCTAACAAGTGGAGGAGCATCGGTCCATCTTTCTTTCAGTCGGTTTTTTTTTCTTTCAAATTTTAAACAAACATGAAATCACTGAGCAAAAGCCGACCGACATGCGCGGATTCGGTACACGATTATCAAAGGAATCAAGGTTGTACGGTACTTGATCTGTAATCAATGCAGTACTCATTTAACTGATTATACAATGATTGACTCATCAGACTGATGTGAATCTTTTCTTGCTGTAGCATTTTAAGATGCAGAACCGCTTTATTTAATTGATGCAAGTGCTAAAATGAAAGATTCCGAGCCAAAATAATTGTACAAATCCCGAATGGTTTTTTTGTGTTCACAAAGAAATTCGGTCGTTGAAAATTTACTTCGGAAGACTTGAGGAATTCACACCACAAAGATTATTTGCTTGGCTTTTCTGCCGAGATCTGCTCAGCACAAAATTACAACCGCAATTGCTCGATTCAGCCAGAGTTGGAAACCAAGAAGGTTTGAGGGATTAGGTTCTTAAGGACAGTTTCAAGAAATAATACTTTTGCTTTTCAGGAATGTCTAGGATAACCAAACTCAGGTTTGGTTCACAAGCTCACAAGGAAAATTTTCTTTGTCTGAATAAATGACAGAGGAGTTGAACCAATATTTAGAAAATGTCATTCTGGTGCCACTCTGCCATATTTTTCCGACAAGAACCATCAATAATAACGTGAATTTTGGTTGAAAAGTCAAAGCCAAGAAAGTATGTCCTACATTCTCATAAATAATGCTTATACAACTACAAACGTATAACTACAGTAAAATCGAACAACGAATGATCAAATGCAAGGAAGTCGTTTTTAGATCCCTGCAAAATAGCCAAAATGTCAAATCAGTTGCTTTATAAAGAATCTTTATTTGAAACAAAGCTGCTTCACTGATCCCAGCAATGCATTTAATATAACAAGATTTAACCATAAATAGAATAAGTGGAATTTCGCGGAGATTCGTGTTTCATGAGTGGCCTAAAGCCGGGATTATCGACCCTGTGTGGTGAGGAATATTTGGGGGGTTTTTTTTCCTATCCCAAACAGAAAACAGTGTTTTGGGAATAAAAAAAAGAGTATATATATTGAGAGTTAAACCACGCAAAAGCAACTCATCCAGCCTCATGCTCATCAGGCAACCATGATGAAGGACCTGAAAAGCCGGCAAGTATATACCAGCAGAATGAAGTTACTATAAATTCGAATGAGGTGGGCAATTTGAACGCTTCGCCAAGCGTGACGAAAATGAATACAACCACTCGTATAGGCATAGGCCATCAGCAGCATAACGTTGCAGCAAAAGAGAAATGTAAATCTCTGGGTTATTGCTGCTCATTTGCCTTCTGAGACCTGTTTCCGTCCTCTTTTCTTTCTTCAACGCGTTTCCCGGGGGTTTCTTAATGGAAAGGGGCTTTCATTTGATGAATGGCTGATGCGTGGATCCTATTTAATTGCTGGGGGTCCGACACATTTCCTGCAACACTTATACAAGTGTTTCAAAAAAAAGGCGAATTTTCGGATGATTGGAGGAAGGACTACTTTGTACAATGAACGCAATTTGTGCAAATCCTACTTCTGTTGTATAATTTTTTCTTTAGATAAAAATCCCGAAATCTTTTCAGGCTTTGAAAATGGGTTTTCATCACAATTTTCTGCATAAAAGTGGACTGCAGATTTATAGCACAGTATATTGCATGTAAGCGTTTATCTCAATGCTTCAACAATAAGTCTTCAAAAATGAGTTTTTATTTTAATTTCTTCTCAAAAGTGTTGATTGCAGTTTTACAATATTATTGAGTCTACAGCGGGGTAATGCTAAGAAAAGTCTTCCAAACGGAAAAAACCCCAGTTTGGGGACTTTTCGAGTTAAAAAATATTTTGTGAGATTAATTTTGCTTCTATTATGAGTGGATGAAAAATCATATATAGCACAGAATTATCTTGCTACAAAGGTGTTTGTACTACTAGTTGGCACTGTACTGCCATTTTTTTTAGCAAATCAATATGGTAATCCACTACTCACACCTACATAGCAGGACACGAATCAGCAAAATTAAAAAATATCAGTCATAAGAATGTCAGCATTTTTTTTAATTTCAGAGGAAGAAAAAAAATGAACTAAGTCAACAAAACGAGGAAAAAGGGATTATGTGTCCCAATTACTACCAGACATCAATCGGGTGAAGGGTGGCACGTATATTTAATGGCTTGAGTTGTGTTTCCGAAAAGACGTTTCTACTGGTTTTATCACATTTTTTGTTGTTGAAAAAGAAAAGGATGTCACCTGTTACTGCAGGCTTGTTTACATATTATTTTTACCCCGAGAATGAGGAAATAACAAATTCAAGACCATTGTCTACACCCGCGAAACTTTTATGGCACCACATTCCTTCAACGAACGAGATTTTTTTTTTATGACTAGAAAATAAAATGGAAGAAACTTTCCGGAAGTCCCTCGATGTGTGTGTGTGTGTGTGTGTGTGTGTGTGTGTGTGTGGCAGATGTGAGCTACTTTTTCTGCATTCTCAAGTGTTCATTGCGGTCGCAAGTATCACCTTATGAGCTTTAGAAACGGATGTTTCTTGACACCGTTTTCACCTGGTGTGACTCGCATGATGCGAATTTGGCTTTTTTTCTCTTGTGACACAATGTCCCAAATTTTTGAAAAATAGAATTCAGGTTTGGCAAAAGGTTTTGGAACCTCAAATATAATTTTTTTTTTAAATACTGTCTGCGTACACTTTTTTTTCTGGGATCGAAACGAAAATTGGGCTTGGATTCTTTGGAAATACGCATAGCTTAAATGCAATAAACGACTCAACACTTTCTGTGAAAATTTTCGAAATATACTCAATAGTTTTTTATGGGGAATTGATCCATCTAGAAAATTAATGCGTACACAGATAGAGTGCATTTTTTATGGAGGGATTCTTCCTTTTATTGCACTTGCTAGATTTACATTCGTATAGGTCCACTTATTTCTCTTGACTCGTTATCTTGTGTTTCTCGGGAAGGCCGTTAGTAATTAGCCTAAATTCCATTCTAGATAGTTAATGACCGGCTTCTGTAAATCACCCACAGTTTATGTAGGCTAATTTGGACCTCTGCAAAAATCTTGGAAGCTGGATTTAATTTAGGAGAATTGACTCGACTTTCATAATGTCTTTGGACTCACGCATTCTTTCTCGTGAAAGCCGCAGTTTTAATATATTTATAGGTTTTGTATCCCTGAAAAATAGTTGAAGTTTTGTACCAAAAAAAATCCCTTCTTTTATTGGATCCGCGTCGTGCAAATTTATAATTTTTCTTAGGATTTGGATTTCGCATTTTCCTCAAGCAAAGATTCCAGTTGGAGTCCAGAGCTTGAGGTTGAAGTTTGGAATTTGAACCTGTGATGATTTGTTTGTAAATGGTGAAATAAAAATCATTGATGACTTATTTCCGGATTTGTTTTCTGCAAATAGTTGTCTTGGATGACTCCCGCGGACATTCCGAGTTTCTTGCCGCTTGCTGATGCTGCCTCGTACCTCGGAGAAGCTGCCAATCCTTTCATGGGTGCAATGTGAGTATTTTTGCAATGTTCTTGGCTGAGTTTTGAGCAACGTGTTCTGCAAAATCACGGACTGGTGTTAATTGTTCAGCAAGATCCTGCACTTTTTCCCGATTTAACTCCTGTATTTCTAGCTCACTCAGTCTTGCAATCCATTCATGAGAGGCAAGCCTGGAAAAGCAGTCGTTCATGGCGACGTTAGGGGTATTTTCTGAATGGGTATTGTTACATTTCTAACATTTTTGGATTGTGATGTTTCTATGATCTTTTCAGAAAGAATTGAGCCATTTTCACCAATAGAATAGCTTCGTTATTTAAAAAATGGTTGTGTAAATATGCAAATAACATTGTGGGTATTGTTGATGGACCCGAAAAACGAATTCTTCGTGACCGATTATTCTTTATAGCGAGATTTTAATTCATTACAAAATACGCAGTTATGAATGGTACACAGCTAAAATTAAACATGATTTCCGGCGCAGAGTTAAAATTTATGAAAATGCATTTAGTCTCGAATTTTCTTTCAGCCAAAATGACTACGGTACCGTATTTTTGTATCCAAAATTTATTTTAATTGACAAGTCTATAAATTCAAGAGATGTTACAATATGTGCGGATTTTGAATATAAGCTAGTGGGGGGTGTATGGACTTCTACAGATGTACAATACAATTGATCTGGACAACCATATTTTATTTTGATTATAATGAATTTCAAGACTGAGAGCCTTGTATTTTTCAAGCACCGCAATGACTGATCATATTGATCAGATAATACTTTTCTCGTTCTGGGAAATGTGATTTGATCAGCCTTTTTTTAGATTATGGTAGGCATGGAAGATTCAAAAGAGTAAAAATTGAAATACCGTGTCAACATGTCTAATCTGGTACAACTTGAAATAAGCTGCATGTCAGCACAGCTGGTGGGAGAAACAGAACATCCAAAATCATCGTTAAAGCTGTGCATTCAATATTTAGGCTGCATTCTATATTTTTTTCAAACATGCTAAAAGAAAAGAAGATATATTCTTCTGTCGTCTAACCATGCCGGCAAAGTAATGACAGGAACAATGAAAACGAATTTAATTACGTGGTTTCCTCAGCTATTTGGACGTCGTCCCAGCGAGGGAAAAATAGTTTGCAATCACGGAAAAAGGTAGTTGGAAGAGTTTGATGCGCGTACTGTTTATTTATTTATTTTTTTTATCCGAGCATCTGCTTCGACCTGATCCATCAAACATTCCTTTCAGAGCGAGGACATAAACCTGACCATAACTTTGATTGAGGTTTACGGCGCGTTGATGTTTGGTGGGAACTCACTCAGTCAGCTGACGGGAATATTTTCATTTCGCGTGTAATTCCTGCGAGGCGATTAAGTTGTCTGTTCACCGGATTTATGGAGTGATAAGAGAAAGGTTACAAATGACTTTTTCGGGGAATTTCTGCGTCAGAAAAAAAAATTCTTTATCTTCTTACATTCTGGAATGAACGACCAACTTCATGGAATCGAAGTGAAGTTCGGGAATTTTTTTTCTGTTCGAGAGTACTGAATATGGGTTCATTAGTATTGTGAGTTTTTTGGATCCATCACGATGAAGATGAACTCGATTTCGACAGAAAAGGCGATTGTTTTTTTACACATTCTCAAACTCTTCCCACTCAGCACGCCAAAAAAAAGGAACCCTCCAAAGGAATGTAAATGATGTTCAAATAAGGATTAAAATTGCTCGCGAATTTTTTAAAGTTCCAACAAATATTTTAAATAATTATTAAAACTTATTAAGTAACAATGAATGAACCATTTTCCAGCGATAAGTATGGCTTTACGATTTTTTTTAAAGGTTGGATAGTTGTGGAAATCCCGTTAAAATATCCATTTCTAGTGCACATGAAGTGGAAGTTTCAATTGAAGTAATCCGCAGAACATTGACAAAAGATGTACTCTAATTTTTGAATTATATCGTATTTATTGAGATGTTTATGGCTCTTACACTTTGGTGCCTATAGAGAAAATAATTTCAAGATATCTGAACAACTTCTGAATCGTCTCTCATCGCAGCATTCCATCTGAATAAACCAAGAGGATATTAGTCCAAGTTTTTTTCTTCTGGAAACCCCTAGAAAAAAAGCATTAAATTTGTATTCCTTGATTGATTGATATTCAAGCTTCATTTACAATTTTTCAGCATTGACAAATGTTCACATATCCCCTCAACAAATCCATTCAACCCATTCTGGCGTATCAAAAATAATTCACTGTATACGTAATAAAATAAAATACATCACTGTACATACTGATGCGTGAATATTGAATTTTTTTTTCTAATAATGTCGGAAATCGCAGCACGAGTTTTTTTTAGCCTGTTCCCACATAAATTCCAATCAAACTATGGAGAAAAATCTTTGAAGAGAAATCAATTATTCCCCGATGTGATTTAATTACAGATGTGATTTAATTGCGGCAGGAAAGGTCCAGGGTTTGCTTGCGCTGGTAGGATGAGGGGGTTTTAACCTGTTTTTTTGAAGGGGGATTTTGGCTCGTTCCAGGTTTCTGGGCTCAATGTTCCTGCACTTGGCTGAAGCTGGAGTAGCTTATGTCATGTCTCGCTCTTACGGACTGGACTACGAAACATCCTTCGCCTGGATGCTTCAGACCCTGGGTTACGGAATGTTTTCACTGCAATACCTGCTCTTCCCTGATTCAAGGTGAGTTCTTGGAGAGAAGAAAAGGAAAACGTTGTCTAAAAAAATAAACGCAGCAAAAATTCAAATTTACTCTGAACAGCAGAAGACAACTTTCTTAATTGGCGAGTCGTATTTCAGCCCGATTTCATGGCGTCTGCTAAATTTACCCTGAGCCTGAATGCGCTTTTTAAAATGCGTTGAACTTTCGGGAAAGACACGGCTTATTGAACATTATTCAACAAAATTTTCAAAACGTACTCTAAGCTGAACTTGTCGAGATTTAGTGTCAAAAGCTTCTGGAAAAATAACTGTTTCCTATACAAAACCTCAAAGAAAAATATAGAAACTTCTTCTTGACCTTATCCTGAACTTCAAATGGCAAGAACCAGCATCAAACTTTCACATTTAAATAATTCAGGGCATTACAATTTCATTCTGAGCTTCAGTTGGATAAAACTTTGAAAATTGCGGCTTCACAACGCATTTGTCTTATTGAAGATACATTTAACTTTTCGAAAATAAACTGTATTCTTGAGATTCTTTGACGTCTTGGATCGTATTCCGATATTCGAGTGTTATTGTGTATGCATCAAAAATAAATTTTAAAAATGATTGCAATCCTCGCGGATTTTCCTAATCCTTGCCAATTTCTGCACAACAGGTACATGCAACGAATCGACGCCGATAATCTGGACCTGTCATCCTACAACTTGATCGACTACCTGGAAGGTTTTTAGGCTCTAAGAAAATTTTCAAAGACAGATTATAAAATAAAATCAACAAAAAAACTGAAAAAACGGAAAACCCAGGAAAAAATCCAGCATATCGCTGATTTTTTTTTATTCGTAGGCGTGTGTATACTGTGAAATGTGCAAGACGAAAAAAGAAAATCCGTAGCCTCAATCGTGTGGTAGACCGAAGAAAGGAAAAGATGGACGCTTTTCTGTTTTTTTTTCTGCCACCTGTTACCAGTCTCGATTTTCGCAGGTATTTCAATTTTTTGAAAGAAGCGTTATTTATTTGCGACGAAGTTTTATTTATCCTTACGACCGTATGTGCGGATCGGAAGGTGATGCAAGTGTAATAATTTATTTTCGCCGCGGAGAAGGTTTTTTTCCGCACGGTGAAATGAACTGAGACCAACCTTGATTAAAGAACTTTATCGTTTTACAAACCAAACTGTTTTTCTTTCACATTGTTCTCCTTTTTTTTAAAGCGAGCGAGGAAATTTCATCAGTGAAAATTAATTGTAAGATTATTTGAAAGCTGATGAGTCGCTGAACAAGGGAAGCTCCATTTTTCGCACGCGAAAATAATCCATGACAGGAATTGCGATTTTCGAAGTTTTCAAGCAAAAGCATCAGAGGATCCATTTCTCACACAGCTATACAGCTCTTAGAAGTTGAAAGCTCTTACTTCAAGTAAACCCGAGAAACATTTTTAATTTCAGAATAAATGGTTTCTTTAAATAATTTCTCAACAGTATATGACTTATTTATTGAATTTATTTTCGCGTGGGTTGAACATTTTATTGACAAGTTCTCCTAGTTCCACGAGGCTTCAACATATTTTATGCTGTCATCGACGTACCGCATTTTTTAAATTCCAAGCATTGTGTATAAATCATACTTTTGAATGCTTTGGATACATTCAAACATCTTCAAGCCAAACTTTAAGCATGCGAACAAATTCAATCAAAGTCAAAGCAATCAAACAAATTCGAAGCATTCAAACAAATTCAAAGCATACAACCAAATTTGAATCAGGCGACCAATTAATTTCTTTTATTAAAGAAATAAAAGAAAGAATAGCTACAGGAAATTTTAATTCGTTAGGCCGTAAAGTGATTCCTACATGAGTTTATACAGGATGCTGAACTAGAAGGCAAGGGTTCATATGCCAAATTAGTCTTTCACTTCTTTTAAAAACACACCATTCCATTTTCATAGTTTTTTCTCTTTCCAAAATGCATCCAGAATCCAATATCCAAATTGCATCCAGAAAATTCTACTCATGAAAGCTTGAGTGGGAAAGTCTTTGAGTCAGGGAAATTTTTATTCCATTGATTCCCAGAAAATTCAGACAGGGACTTCAAAAAATTTGACATAAGGAGGTACAGTATTCGACTTGGGGAGATTTGATTAATCAAGATTCAACCGTTGCATATTTTCAGAAGAGCATCATTGCAAAGATAAAACGAAATTTTCATGAGCTTCCCTGTTGCAATTCCGCTCGGCAAAAAAAAATTGAACGTGTGTAGTTTTGATTTTTTCTTATGCTTTTGTCAATTGATTCGTATGATTACATGTACAATGACTGAAAAAAATCTTTTAAACTTTAGGATTTTCTTCAGGGACAAGGTCAATATGGTGGGATGGTTAAATTATTGTTAAAATTCTGCCAAAATGCATTTGACGAAACAAGATCCCATAGCATCAGACAACGGATAATTGAACACCTAATCAGCAGCAGATCCGTTAATGTCTGCAGTGTTAACTGAGGATCCTATAGGGGTCTGGGGAACTTTAACTAGTAGTAGAGCGTCCGCAGTGAAATCTTTTCAAATCTTTTCAGAACCACGTTATTTCAAATACTGCGTAGTTTAGTACCGTACTTCTGGTATAATACCAGCGGTACACAACCCCTTCAGGTATTTTTCAGGGTGGTGTACCGCTGGTATTATACCAGTATACCTTTAAAAGATTGCGGAGTTGTGTACTGCTGGTATAATACCAGTGGTACACAACCCTGGTATAATACCGCAGGGTTGTGTACCGCACAGCATATTTTCACTGTGATTGGCCAAGGTCCAGTAAATCGGTTCAACAGTCTCCACTAGTTCAGGAGTGCAGGCTGAATTAGGAGTCGCAGGCTGAATTACATAGGAGAACTTGATGATGAATTCCTGCCGCAAAAAGTGTTCAAAATCGTCACTGTTACAAAGAACTTTATCTTGAAAATGAGAGATTACCTAAGGAAGTCGAACAAATTAACTGCATGCACCGCTTCAGGCACACAATTTTTATCCCTAATTTCGACAGAATCGAAATTTTTTCGTTTTTATTCAATCCCTATGCACGACTTTGAACAGTTTTTGCTTGTTTCAAGACTTTCTCGAGACATCTCGTAATGTATATTCACCTCGTATTCCTGAGAAAACAGTGTGTTGTTGATGGCCTTCAGCATCTCGATGTGATTCGAAAGCTCCGACACCGGAATGGGCGGATGCGACATCATGCCCGGGGTTTGGAAATTCAAGCGCCTCAACTCCACGGGATCCGAGGGTCCTCCAGGCGCGTAGTCGTAGTTTCCACCTCCAAGTGACGATCCAGCTCGGCCCAAAGAACCCCCACACGCCGGCCCCCCTCCGATCCCACCAGCAATCACAGCTCCTCACTCATTACCCAGCAAGGGTTTATCTACAGCCGAACGACCAGCGTCGTGCTCCTTCAGGGCACCACAACGCCGCTGTAGCAAAATAACAGCACACACGAGGGCGACGAGAAGAACGACGGAAACGGCAGGGGCGATGATCCAGACCTTGTCAGCAGAACGGGCATGGACACCGTCGATTCCGTAGGGGGTCATGTCCGGGTGGCCGATGCCCTCGGGGTCTACGTGCGGGGACAAAGGTGGAGGACGAGTGGGCAGCTTCTGGCCTGGGTGTACTAGTGGCATTTTCAGACTCATGAAGTCCGAAAGCTTACTATTACCGTACAGATTCGTCTGCTCCAGTGACAAAGGTTAAAATACGGTTAGTTTCAAGTTTTGGCTTGATCCGCATAGTTTTGATTCGCTCACCTTCTGAGGAGTGTCGACGAAGGCTCTCAAGAATATCTTGTACCAAAGTTTGGCGCTCAGTGGTCTGTTCCAGAAGCCATTGTACGTTTTGTTATTGCCCAGGTAAAACTCGACCGGAATATCACGATTGAGGTATTTCGCGGCGATGTATGGCAGCTCTTCTTCTTCTTCAAACTCTCCCGGTTTCACGCTGTTCAAGTACGGATTGCTCCTCCCTTTGTTCACTATCAACTGTGGAGTAAATCGAGTGTTGAAAAATACAGTGTATAAGGAATGAATTACAGTAAATATTACTTCCGCACACCCCTAAAAGAAATTAAAATCGTGTAGATTCACAGCAGAATTTAGATTATCTGAACTCTAATCGACCATGTAGCTGATTATCTGAACCGGTTATCCATTCTTTATTTTCTCAATTTCAAATCTCATCCCCTTTCTATGATCGGTGCGAATCGTTATCCTGAGCTCCACCCGATAATCTTTCCATGGAATCAAAAGCGTTGTTACATTACAATCAGATCTCTTCTGGACCGGAGGATGAAGAATACAAGTTACAAATGGCGGTAAGGTTACGCTTTGTATGTACTGTAAAACTCAACTACGGCATTATATCCAGCTTCCTCAAAATACACACCACTTATTCACTAACTAAACTTGTGCATAATTTTCAGCTACTTCCATGCAAATAAGAAGTATTAGGCATACTCAGGAAGATATATCTGGAACAGTTCGCCAGGCATCTAAATTAAAATTTTTGATCAAGTAAATGAGATGACACATTTAAGCTATTAGAATCCTAAAAACTCAAAGTGCGAGAAACTAGGTGTATTAATCACAAGTACAGTACAATGTTCCGACCGAGATAATTAAGAATATTCTGAAATTTATAAATTACACATACTGATATCACACCCATCCCACATTGATTAACTTCATCCTAAAAATAATCCCCAAGTAATTTTTAAAATTAATTATGACCCGAATTTCAAGATAAGTCTTCATTTTTTGAGGAAAAAAGGAAAGTATGAGAAATCAAGTGCTTACATCATCCAGCAAATATGCGTCAGGATGCTTAAACGGATAATTTTTCCTCTCCGGAACAACAACGAGAAAATAATGTGAAGTTGGTCCATATTCTTCGGAAGCTTGAGGCAAAGCCAGGAATATGTATCCTTCTGTAGTGACTCCAAGAGAATCCGGTTTCACCATCGTTTTTGGTGCTGCGGAAAAAAATACAAAAATTCATTAAACTTGATTCAGAAAAATTTCAAAGAAATATTCCTCTACAGACATTCTTAACTTGAACAAGTTAGAATACTGTACCTATAAAACTAATCAATATGAGTTCAACTTACCTAATCTTCCAGTTTTGAGAAAACGCGAACGATAGGCGTTTATGCAAGAAAAAGTACATCTTTCAATACAGTACCGTACTGTATTTTAGCAAGCTATAGGCACGTACTGTATTTAGATAGAAATATATAGATAAAAATAATGGCTTTATAGAAAAACAAGCTCAAACAATGCAGATAACCTCGGCTGGAGGAATGCGAAACACATTTGTCAACAACTGGCTCACGAAATTTCAAAGCAGGAGTCAGATGCTCACTAACCTGCCATCATAGTCGTGACTTGAATCCTAGCTGGAGGTCGAAAGCTGCTGTCTTTTGGTATGGCTGTCACATTCACCGAATAAGTTGTAAATGGGGTCAGGTCCTCGATGTGCTTAGAGTACACATCTGGGCCAACGAGCATTACACGCGCAGGGATCTTCTGCCTTTGCGTCATTCCACCGGCGTCGACGAACTCCTTCACAGCATCAAAGGCAATCTGCTTTTGCAGGATAAGAACTGTAATCAGATCTCGCGTTTCGTATGCTACGGAATCTTTACGGAACGACTTCACAACTTCATCAAAACGAGGAGTATTCAACAGTCAACGCACACATGGCGATTCACGCGCTACCAGGCCCATAAAAAACACGAATAATTCGGGGCTGACAAAAATACAGTCTTACTGATGGAACGTACGTCAAATGAAGGCGCAAAAGAGAGTACCATCCTTCCGAAAACATGGCAGTTTTGAATCTTTAAAAGACTACACAACATTTTAACGTTTGAAAAGGTGAATCCAAACGCGATTCATTCACAGATATTATAACTGATACGGAGAAACAAGACTGATTTTCTTGATGACGTCAAAAACGTTTTTTTGCTTCATTCTCTTCTCGCTAAATAATGCTTGTTTACAGGGTGCCAATCATTTCTTCTGGTATAGGACTCGTGTGAAAAAAGAGAAGGCCCAAACGTTTTTCGATCCTCTCCCAGACTCCGAAAAATTCGTGCTTTCACGATAACGATACGATTCTGCATTCTTCT